GCTCAGGAGTTAAGAACGTTGATTGTAACATTTACTGGTTTCGTACAATTGTAGTTTGAAACACCGTAAATCAAAATTTGTTTATCACGACTCTGCAATATTGCTGAGTCACAGCATTTTTTTCTGTGCTCAAGGGCGAGACTAATGATTGAGCGGATTATTTTTTTACATTTCCATCCCCAAGCATTTTAATGAGTTTTTTTTGTCTACTCTGCATAAAATCTTCTGGGATTATTGGTTTGCAAACAAAACCTAGTTTTGTATTTGATCTTTTTGCTGGAAGATATAGCTCAGTCCGCCGGTCTTATTCGTAAAAGACTCTGCGTTAAGTTATGACCACATTGAAAGGACTTATTTTAGTTTTAATTAGTTGGTAGATTGTTAATTAGTTGGCAATTGCAGAAATAATTGAAATACTTCTAGGAATTAGATAAACCATACAGGGGTTTCTTTTCTGCATTTCATGTGCAAAAGCAACAAGACTACTCGTATCAGGGCGAAGCCCTGAATGTTCCGGCTGCCTTTTAAGGTTTATGGAGCAGCAGTAATAACATAGAAAAATTTAATGAAATAAAATAAAATGAAATTTTTTTTTCTCCAAAATTTGAAATTTTTTATGAAAATCATCCCCTCACACGCCATATAAAGTACAAAAAGATAGATTTCGTTCCTTGTAACAAATCAATTATGGCAAATAAGCTTCTTTTAACCAATTTGGAACGATTTCTAAGAGGGATTAACTCTCCGCTTACGCGTTAATAGCGCAAAATATATCGCGCGTTAATTGTCCCAAATTGGCCAAAATGGCAATCTTTAAACCCTCATAAATTTACGAAAAATGATCATAGGTGAAATATCTTTTCAATTGGCTATCTTCTTGCTCAGGAGTTAAGAACGTTGATTGTAACATTTACTGGTTTCGTACAATTGTAGTTTGAAACACCGTAAATCAAAATATGTTTATCACGACTCTGCAATATTGCTGAGTCACAGCATTTTTTTTCTGTGCTCAAGGGCGAGACTAATGATTGAGCGGATTATCTTTTTACATTTCCATCCCCAAGCATTTTAATGAGTTTTTTTTTGTCTACTCTGCATAAAATCTTCTGGGATTATTGGTTTGCAAACAAAACCTAGTTTTGTATTTGATCTTTTTGCTGGAAGATATCGCTCAGTCCGCCGGTCTTATTCGTAAAAGACTCTGCGTTAAGTTATGACCACATTGAAAGGACTTATTTTAGTTTTAATTAGTTGGTAGATTGTTAACCCACCCCGAGCACAAATATTCCGTTACTTTCGTATCGAAAGTCGGAACAATAATGACCTCTGTCAGTTGGAATTCGTATCGTGTGCGAATGGGTTGTCTGGATGCATATCTGTCCCCTCTGAAAAGTCTTATGGATATCAGAAAAGTTTGCTACACCTGATTCCACATTCAAGTTGAAAATTTTCAAATATGTTGTCGTTCCAAAAGTATTGTAAGAAAAAAGCAAAAAAAAAACGATACTTCAACTCAGTTTGCGAAACTTCTGTACAAATGTAACAAAAATGCTCGTATCAGGGCAAAACCATGAATGTGCTGACTGCAATTTAGTTTCTACAGGGTAATTTAAATTAAAATATTTAATGAATTTTATGAAATGTTCAAACAAATACAGTTTTGAAAGTCATCTCTCGGCACTCTTTGTGATAACAAAGCTTAAAGAAGGATGCTTTTCATTTTTTTTGTAAGTTTCATTAAATATTTTAATTTAAATTACCCAATAGATTAAAAAGCAATCGGAACATTCATAGCGGCTTCCCCATGTTTCAAAATATCAAAGAACAACATGATATTTTTGCATAAAGCAAGGTGTACTGATAAGTGCCTCTGCATAATATTGCTAGCATACTTTATAAAAAGCTTGATGTGAATGTTTCAGCTCATTTGTGCGGAATTAAGTTTCGAAAACTTGAATTTGTGGGATGAAAACTTATGATAGAGAGGTTATACCAGAATTAAATTTTTGAATGTATCTGCGAGTCTTGATAAATTTGTGAATAAAATTTCACAGGGAACCGAATGAAAAATTTGATGAGTTTCTAAGCTAAAGGTAACCCGCTATGATGCTCCGTGAATAATAACGGTTTATAATCATTTTTCGAGGCCTGTCTCCATAAAAATCTAAAATAATCAATTATAACGGATTAATAATTGATTATAAACACAACAAAAAAAAAAGAAATCAGTTAGAATCAAAATAATCTTTTATTATAGGTTACAATGGATTATATTGGATTATAATGGGTTATAATAAATTCTAATGAATCATAAACTGTGTTACACAAGAGCCTGGATTTCCAAAACAATTCCGCCTATTTTCAAAACTTGAACAAAGCAACCATTAAATCATTTGGATTGTAAATTCTGTTGTATTGTTTTTTTCCTATTTTTTGTACAATTTTTTCTCATTAATATTGATTTGAGTATTGCCGCCCCTCGCTCCTCGACCACTTCCTGAATCTTTCTTCCTCCACTTACCACCCCCCCCCCCCCCCCCCCCCACCTAGTGCCCCTTAATACACTTTTACACTTGCAAACCCGCCCCACTATCTCGCCACATATTCCACTTACCCCCAAACCCCCAGCCCCCCAAAACGTGTAAAAAGTCATAAAAAAAATTACTAAAAAGAGGGGTTTCGTCTCGATTTTAATGATTTAAAAAGCAATTACAATTTAAATAAAGAAAATTCCAGGTGTTTTTTTTCAAACAAATTGCATATGCCAGTTTGAACGAAGTTTGTTTAAACTATCCAATCGGTATTGACAGCTTGAACTACAAAAGATATTTCATCCGTGATCAATTTTTTTAGCCTAAAAGAAATTTTGGCAAATTTGAGACGATTAAATGGCGATAATTTTTGTGCTGATGATGAGCCTCGTAAATTGTTCCAAATTGTTTTGAGGTAAACTATTCTGGCTGATTAATACTTTGCAAACCGCTGATTACTTCACTTTTTACTCAACACAGGCTGTGGAGGATTGGCAAATTCAAATTTTTTCATATTTTTAAAATTTTCTGCAAGCCCAAAGGGGCAATTGGGGTCTGAGCTTTGCTTCGCCTTGAAATGAGAAGTGTTGTTCTCTTTCAACTCGAAAAATTTAGGCTTCTAAAACCTCGTCATTTCCACAGTATGACTGTCGAAGTTTCTGAACGGATAAAAAATCATTGCTAACAAGAATACGTACCTAAAAAAATCCCACACAGCTGATTCTGTTTAAGAAAAACATTAAAATTAAAAAAAAAACGTTTTCAGCCCGAAATTTTAGCGATTTTTTCCATACTTGATTCTTGTTCACCATGGAAGCAAAAAGAAACTGAGCACGCTCTTCAGGAATCCTTGAATGTTGAAAAGGAACAAAAAAGATCATTTCTTTGAGTAAAGTGCAAAAGTTTCACCAAAGAAGTATTTAGCGGTTGAAAAGTGCACGAACTTGTATAAGCGGTAGCATATTTTGTGTCGAAGTTTCGACTAATCTAATTTGGTATTTCATTTTATTGAACTTCATTTTAGTATTTTCAATTAATCTACGTGGAATAGAGAAAATGCTAACAGTTAGAAGTTTCTCCAGGCTACAAAGAATGTATCAATAATGAAAGGATCGGACAATATTATGAATGAGCGTCATTTGTAATGAACGAAATTATTGTATAACAGCACAATGCCGGCCAATTAAAACATCCCAGCGGACTCGCAGAAGAACATACCCATTCATCAGCCAAAAGTTCACACCTCACTTCTGTACCACAGTGCTTTAAATTAACTTGGCTGCAAAAAAAAATAAACAAACCCCAAACTTTATATGGGTAGTTTCAATCAGAAACATAAATCCTGAAAGTTTTTCCAGTTTGTATTGAAAAAAAAACAAGACTGCTCGTACCAGGGCGAAGCCCTGAATGTTCCGACTGCCTTTTAAGGTTTATGGAGCAGCAGTAATAACATTAAAAAATTAAATTAAATAAAATAAAAAAGGAAATTTTTTTTTCTAAAATTTGAATTTTTTAATGAAAATCATCCCCCCACACGCCATTTAAAGAACAAAAAGATAAGTTTCGTTCCTTGTAACAAATCAATTATGGCAAATCAGCTTCGTTCAACCAATTTGGAACGATTTATAAGAAGGATTAAATCTCCGCTTACGCGTTAATAGCGCGAATTATATCGCGCGTTAATTGTCCCAAATTGGTCAAAATGGCAATCTTTAAACCCTCATAACTTTACGAAAAATGATCACAGGTGAAATATCTTTTCAAATTTAAGCTCAGGACAGCAATACCTTTTGAATGATAAAAAAAATTCCATCAAAAATTGCTAGTTAAAAAGTCGAAATTTGTCTGAAGAAAAAAAAAACCCACCCCGAGCACAAATATTCCGTTACTTTCGTAACGAAAGTCGGAACAATAATAATGGACAAAAACGAAATTTATATTGGTGCAATGCGCTTGCAAATTTCAGATCAAAATTTCCCCTGAAATATGCTCTTCTCAAAGAAAACTGATGCGTAGATTTTTGAGGACGACACGACTATTTCGAAACTGATGGTTTTGAATAATCAGACAGTGAAATTGGATTGCTCATAGAGACGCTCATAACCACTTTTGGCAGCGACAAATTGCACAAAGTTTGAGTTCAATATTTTTCCCGTTATTTTTCTAGAGATGGGTGCTCCGAGAAAGAACGCTTTTTTGAGAAATCAGAAAGCGGGCAGATTCATGCAAATTTGTCTATTTTTTGTTTATGTTCCTCTCCTAAAAATTAGTGTTCACTAGTGCAAAAGCGTATCTAGAGAAAAATAAGATCAATAGTCTTAAATTCAATTTATTTGAACAGACTGAAAGGTGCGATATCTTTTGTGTTTTAAAGACTTCAGGTTACTGAGGATGGACTGAAATTTACGTCTTTCTCTCTCCCTGAACTTAATTTCCGTACAAAAAGCAGTGATTTATTTATCGGTTGAATTACCAATTACAGTGGTTTTCATTATTTTAAATTATCTTAGCTATTGCATGTTTGTGGGCCTAGCAAACAGTAAGACAGGCCATCAATTGAGATCCATATGCTTTGATACCTTATTGATTGACAATCGAAAATTAGAATTTAGCTTTCATTGTCCTTCCATGCCAACTAAAGACTTCTCGTCTTCTAAGTCAATCAACGCTGCTAACTGCTGGTATAGGCGGCAGTAGTCTCATCTGATTTTCACGTTATTCTCCTCTTTCTTGGTCACAAATCCAGGGCTGCTCACGGCAAATAACATTGTGTTTGAACCATTTGAAAGTTAAAAAATCCCCGGGGTTTTCATAGGGTATCTCGATGTCGAAATCATTATGGTCAATGCCCAATATATAATTGAAACCAGGAGGATGAGATCCTACAAGGTAGGGATGACTCTGTCTTTTCAATTCGCCAATTCCGAAGCCGATCTTTGTTATCACATTGAGCCTGCATGTATTCAAAAAAAACGCCTGGATGTAATTCAACTCTTTTCCTGAACAAAAAAATTGAAATTTCTATGACATTGAAACATTTAGAAAGGATAATAGACTAATGTCAATTTAGACTTTGTATGGTTATGTGAAGCAGTTTTTTGAAATAATGTGAATTATACTCAAAAAAAACCCAACGCGAGAATTTTTCTGGAGAAAAATGTACTAAGATCAAGCAAGCAAAGTACAGGGAAATTCAAAAAAAAGCTGTTCAGTAAGTACATATTTTATCATGTTGATTCTTTTTTACAGAAACCTATTTCACATCAGAAAAAAAACGCTCTCAGGCGTTCCTGTTTTTAGGAATACTGCACATTACAAGACTGATTTATGTATCTTGTGACTTCTAATCAGATCACGCACCAAGGACGCTCTCTTTGAAAAAATGTGCGCCTATCCAGTGCACAGTTTGACCTCGTAATGTAGATACATCAAAAACTACTCAAATTTGGTTGAAAATTGCATCCAAACCTCATCAAGTTCAAAAAATTTGCACGTTCTTTAAAACTTTTTGGAGGAAAAACTTGCTGTATTTTTCTAACAACCAGCTTGATCGTTTTTAAACCCTTATTGAATTTTGTTAAAGAAGTTTGTTACGCTGAAGATTAAAAGAAGTTGAATGATGGCTTAACCTTGCTCGGAATAATCGGTGAGTTTCGAAGCATATTCGGCTATTGACATCATCATTCGGGCAAACCCGTGCTCCCTATACTTATGACTTTGTCCTTTGCAACATCCAAGAGAACCGTAGAATAAATTGTGTGTTTTGTACATTGGATGAAACATTTCGTGACACTCTCTGGCTATATTTTGCTCCATTGTTCTTCTAAAGTCCAAGCCGGCAAAGTTGAAACCAACTGCCCTCCAGAGGTTGTTTTCTCTGCTTAGAAACGACCAAAAAAATATTCTCCAAAATGTTTTTAGGTTGTGAGTAATTCTGAGACAAAAATTATTTATAAAATTTATTTCGACAAAAATTATAAAATTTGATTTTTTTTTCTGATTTATTATCAAATAAAAGGAGAGTTGGTTGATCTACAAATAATTGAAAATCGTTCATAGTTTTGTCACAATTCAATACTGTAAAACTCAGAGGTGTTTGGTTTTTTAAAAACCGTGATACTTCACCATGGTGTTTGACGGTGTTTGTCAAATCAAGACAATCGGCAAAAATTTTTCATTTTTTTCAAAACCAGTCGATTTGTTAGTTCCTGGTCTCTCAAAACCCATCGAAATCATGTTTATCAATATTTCTACGCGTGTTTGAGATTTCTTTTTTGTTTACAGTCCGAAAGAGACGTTTTGGGGATTTATTTATTTTTTTCTGTCAAAGTTTTAGGAAATAGAGCCATTTAAGCGTGTTGGTTCTATGCTATCGCCTCTACTCCCTCTCGTAAGTTAATTTTCACTTTGGTATCGTTTTTCAACTTGTACTGCGCGTGCCATATTGATGTGATATTACAAAGGTAGCTTGCTCATCATGCCAACTTCAATTAAGTTGTGATGACATCATTAAGGTTTTTGTTGCAACTACTCTGATATAAGATGTGTGAAAAAACATAGGGTAGGGCGAGTTTTAGATTGCGAGTATGGGGATTTCGAGGTAAAATAAGAGAGGTGTAAATAAATGTTAGAAAAAATTGATCTTATGAGTAAGAGACTCTTATATTTCTCACATTTGATCATCGTACTCGTAGGCTATCACGTCCAGAGTCAGTCGGGTTTCAAAGGCACGCAAACAGTAGAGCTGACTGAATTGTCGGCAGGAGTCGGCACTCTCAACCCAGCTTCGCCATTGGTTCCGCAACAAGGAGTTCCTCTGGTTTATGGTAGCTCGAGACCAAGACAAAAGAGAATGCTTGGTTGGTATCAAAAAAGTTTGTGAAGTCCAATTGAGGTTTTGTATTGGAACATTTACGATTTGGTCAGGAGTTGCCAATGTGTATAAATACTGGTAACACAGATTTTTTAATATGAAGTTACTTGATAAAAATGAACGCCAAGCTGTCATTGGTATATCGTCATCGTCCAGCATTTTGGTTTTATTTTATATATTTGATCTTTTATAGTTAAGTAAAGTTTGTGTTTACAAAGCACTTTTGTTTGTTCGCAAAGCTTTAAGGCTATGGAAAAAGTGATTTAAAGAGTTTATACAGTTTAAGTCGAATTTTTTTAAACTTTCTTAATTTGGGTACTTTAGAAAAAAAACATAAATTCACCTCCACTCAAATGTTCCCTCAACATTCCGTCAGCATCACGCGGGCTCAAAAGATATGATACAAATCCCATACGCGGGCTCAGACTATTCATATACCAAGGCAAGATTGCTCGTATTAGGGCGAAGCCCTGAATGTTCCGACTGCCTTTTAAGACCTATGGAGCAGTAATAACATGAAAAAATAAATGTAAAAATTTTTTTTTTCAATTCAAGATTTTTGTGAGAATCATACCACCACACGTCACATAAAAAACAAGAGATAATTTTAGCTTTTATTAACACATCAATTATGGCAAATAGCCAGCTTTAATCATTTTGGAACGATGGCTAAGACGGATTAAATCTCCGCTTACGCGTTAATAGCGCCCGAATTGGCCATCATCGCACCCTATAAAATCTCATAACCTTATGAAAAAAAATCACAGGTTAAATACCTTTTCAAATTTGAGCTCAAGATATCAATACTTTTTGGCTGATATAAAAAAATTCCGTCAAAAATGCTTAGTTAATAAGTCGAAATTTGTCTAAAGAAAAAAAAACAGAAAAAAAGTCGGAACAAAACTAAAAACGGTTATTAGTATTCCTCCAAAACGTTCAGATTCACACAGATTCCTTGTTGGTTATTTCTCTAGAAACAGCAAATTGAGGGAAAGTAGTGAACTTTTTCAATTAAAATTTCGAAGAAACTGCACTTTGGAATATATCAAAAATTATCAACAATTTTTAATATTTTATATGCCGCAATTTTTTTCGTGAGGGTTTCCCGTGAAGAAAAATTATAACGCATCAGCAAGCTAATACAAATCCAAGACGTGGTTACTTTATTTCAAGACCTTATAAGTTAAATCTACTTAACTTTGGTAAGAGGATTCACAAAAATTAGCGCGTTCACAACACTTTTTTGTGTAACTATAATCACGGGACATAGAAGTTGAATTTTCTAGTTTTGAAGCGATAAATTCAACAAAACTTTTCAAGCTTTTGCCGTTTTTTTGTGACTAAAAAGACTGGATGAATTTTTGAGATGTGAGAAATGAAACTGTTTATCACAAAAAGCCGGAAAAAAATTAAGGTGTTTTTTGACCATTTAAGTAGAAAGCGTCAGAGATGTGCTCATATTGCCAAACAGTCGCCCAAACGTCAAAAATAGTCAAAAAATAATGCAAAAAAACGTTAAGACTACGAATTGTGATTTTTCAAAAACTTTAAGAATACGAAACTCATCAAATATAGAAATATGGCGATTGTTGATAGAAACGAACCTTAAATTTCAAAATATTTTCAATTTCTTCCATTTACGAAACAGAAAGCGTTAAGCGATGCCCTTTTCTACTCTTATGGTTGCAGGTAAAATTATTGTTTTTTTTCATATTTTATATCTAAGTTTTTTTAACGTTTAAAGTTTGTGTGAAGCTACGGTTGTGCAAATCGCACACTGGTTTAAAGCCGCAAGTATTAAAATAAGACGAAAAAAAAAACATATCAAGCAGAAGAACATTAAAAGAGTCGTTGCAGTTTATGTAATCCATTATACAAACATGATTTAACAATATCAAACGTTAATTGTTTATCACTGAATTTTTTATTGTGCAAAATCTTTGGTTTAAATTGGAATTTTAAGAGCCGAAGTTTTTCAAAATCAGCAGTTGCTCAAAAATTGGTTCAGAATTTCCAAAAGTAGCAAAAATTCGTTTTCTTCAGATTCTTTTTTACAAAATCTTTTACAATTCACTTAATTTTCTACAGATTCTAGGCACCAGTATAATGTTATATGTTTAAGTGTAGAAGCGCGACCAAAAAAAACTTTATTTTTTGCCGGAGCAATCCAAAAAAGCCGAAATATTTAAGTGAATTTATATTTTCACTTTGAGCGAAAAATTATCAAATCGGTTTTGAATTTTATACTTAACGCTTTCTCCCCTCAGGGATTCGACCCTCTGCCGACCCAAAACGTCCCGCTTATGTCCTAATTTGAGATATCCATTTTTGGCCGACTGACCTTAAAACTTTTCTTAGGGGGCCTTTGGCGTCAATATATACTAAACTTGAGGGGGAGCCCGCGCCGAAAACACGCAATTTTTAGGTCAAAGTTTTACAAAAAGTCCCTAAACACGCCTTTTTTAAATTAGATTACGGCGCACAAAATATTTTGTCGAAATGGGTCTTTATAGTGACTAAGGAGAGCTTATAAAAACAATTTGGTCGACCGAATTTTTTTAATGAAAATCCGCCACCCCCTTGGAGAAAATCCTAGATCCTCTCTGGTACTAGATCCTCTCTGGTACCAATATGAATACAATTTATAGAGAATGAGTGCGTTTAAATAAGAAAAGCAAAATTTTTTCTTGCATTTTACGGTGAATTGATTCAATTGTAAACATTTTTCACGCGCAAAACATTCCAAAAAATTAGTAAACATTTTAGTTTAAAAAACGCAATAAGTTTCAAATTATTTAGTATTGTAACAATTTTTTCAATCAAAAAACAGTAACTCGACTCATCCATTCGGTTTGTTTGCTATTTATTTCAAAGGGTTTGCATTCATCAAGAATTCGGATTTTGCCAGCTAAGCTTTCAAGCGAATTCTTTGCAATGTTAAGCAAATCAGCGGGAGGAAACAAGCGTCAACAACATAAAGCGGTCAATGGCTCGAAGGTAAATAAGATCTAAACACAATCCTCCAGTCAAAGAGTTCCTGTGCACTTCATTGATTGAATTAAAATGAAACCTTTTCTAAGGGGGAAAAATGTTGTAATTAGTATGTTTTTAAAGTTTTTCAGTTAATTTCAAGGTCGTTGCATTTTATTCGTACCATTACTGGTCTCCGCTGCTTCATAACCACAAATCCAGGGTTGATCTCGACATATAACATTGTACTTGAACCACTTAAACGTCAGAAAATCTTCTGGATTTTCATACGGTATCGCGACATCAAAATCAACACCTTCAATTCCCAAAACGTAATTGAAGCCAGCAAGGGGAACAGTACTCAAATAGGGATGACGGTCTCTTCGCAATCTTCCTCGTCCGAAGCCAACTTTTGTGATGACGTTGACTTTGCATCGAAGTTGAAAAAAGGATCGAATATAGTTCAACTGTTTTCCTGAAGGAAAAAGCAATATATACATTCAATTCTGAGATTGCTTCTTTGCGATCAATACAACTTTATTAGCATCTTATTCTAACTAGAGTTTTTAGAGCAATACGGTGAACGATGAGCATCACCCCCCCCCCCCCCCCACCTCCCCTCTCTGTCTAATCTGTCAAGATCTTACTTGAGCACAGTTTTCAGTGGCACGCCTTAATAAAAATCTGCCTTCTGCGATAGTTAAAGGGGAGTCGTTGACACAACAATTGGCATTGTATTGTCTTTTTTGAAAATTGAAGTCATAAAACTGATCTGGGTTCGTTACGAGAAACAAAAGGCCAAGCAGATAATACAAAAGTATAAGCCAAGTACTCATTGAAACTGAAAAAAAAACCATTTTTGGAGGAAAAATTAAAAACAATCACACTGCTAAGCAGGCGACTTCTGGTGTGAAAGAAAACGAACACAGCCAGATTAAGTAATTTGATAATTTTTTCCTGATGCTTAGGAATTCGTTAATAAAAGCTTAGATGATTTTTTTTAAAAGAAGACTGAATTTTTTTTAAAAAAGAAAACAGCGCTCTTTATTCACATCAACAGTACTCAAATTCCTTATCTGCTCCAAATTTGTCTTTAAGGCTGAAACTACAACCCAGTTTTTCGTTACACAATAACAAAAATATTTGAATTATATGGCCGAAAATACGAATATCATATATCTTCCAAATCCATCTGTTATTACTGGAGTGCGGTCTGTATTTAGACAACCGCGTATTCATACTCGTCGGTAAGCAGACAAATACCAGATTAACCAATCAGAATCGAGATGAGAAAGCAAATTTACGATATAAATTTTAACTTTAATTTACCATCTACATTACAACAGTAATGAATACTATTATAAGGCATGGAGGGTGACCCAAAGAGAATTTCATCTCATCGAGTGGGACATGTCTAACTTGTCTCGATTCTGATTGGTTAATACAATATTTGTCTAAATACTGACGAGTCTGAACACGCGGTTGTCTAAATACTGCTACGTAACCGTTATTACTTGAGGTGCCTGATTTTGAATGGACAAAAAATAGCTGCTATAGTTTTTTCGAATTTCAGCGGTTTAAGCAGAAACGGGCTGTTTTTCAAATGGTTGTTTTTTTTTGTATTTCAAAACCAGAACATTCATTTTATCTATTTTGAACAAGGTTTTGCGTCGAAAAGTCCTGAATGATATCAATGATTTGGACTTTTATCGCAAGATCCTGACATATCGTAAGATGTCACATCGTAAGATCCTAACATTTGGTTTTTACACATTTGGACCATACTTGTTGCTGGCATTTATCAAAACAAAAGGTCCAGATGTGTAAAATCCAAATATCAGGTCCCAAAGTCCAATAGCTAATAATGAAAATTACCTAACAATTGAATGTTACCTAGCAAATGTCAGGTCTATGCTTTTTTTAAAAATGATTAGTGTAGTAGGGTGTTAGAATTGTATAAGAAATGGTTACTATCTTCAGGCAAGTACTAATTGAACTTTTTTTAAAAATTTTATAGTACGTTTTTACGCGAATTCTTCAATTTTTAACTGTTTTTTTTTTACTTGATCTTCCTTAATTTTTGAAGCATTCTATTCCATTTTTTGACAAATATTCTAGCAATCATGTACTTAACCATCGCTCACAGTAATTGATATATTGCCTAATGGATTCTTTCTTTTTAAAATTTTTGGCCTTTTTTAGCTCG